TCTTCCCTGTGTTGAAGTTTCCAGCATTGAACTTTCTTGTGCCCAGGTTTGTTATGGTGCCAGCAAAGTCGCTCAAACCTCTCTGAAAGCTGCCTTTTTCTGGCCTTGAATCCCGATGACTGTTCCAACCTTGGTACCTCTGTACTGGAGTTAACATAGGATTCGAATTCAAGAGCTCTGGCCATTGGATCTTGTATAGTAGAGGGGTGTGCTTGCTTCACTTGTATCTTCAGTTGTGGACTGTCCAAGGCGTCTACAAACTGATCCCTCAGCAACAACTTGAGGACATATATATGGACCGGCATGGCCAAGTGGTTAGGAGCTGAGGGTCGCGGGTTCCAATCCCCGTCCCCCTTCAGCCGTGGGGGATTATAATGTGACGGTCAATCCCACTATTCGTTGGTAAAAGAGTAGCCCAAGAGTTAGCGGTGGGGGGTGACGACTAGCTGTCTTATACTGCTAAATTAGGAAAGGCTAGCGCAGATAGCTCGTGTAGCTTTGCGCGAAATTCAAACCCTTTCTCTGCAAACTACCATCGTTGTGATAACTTTTATGTCAAATGACACATTCTCTCTTCCACTAATATTAAGTAAGATGATGGAACTAGAGTGTTCATGATGCTACAGCTGTTATTTAACTTTAGGTAATTTAAATTAAACCATACAAAAGGGCATATTTGTAGTTTCTGAATATTATGATAATATATCAATATTATAAACAAAACCGTACAACATGCATGATTTTTGACGTCTAACATTTCCGCAGAAAGAAGACTGCTTAGATGGTTCATCAGCCGAGAGATGGGAAAATTACAGCATGATAGTATATATGATTTTATAAAATAATTTTTAAAGTTAAAGTTCGTGAAGTGAAAAGTCTTAAAATGTTTTTTTGAAAACTGGAGGCTAAGATAAACCATTAGTAAAAGAGAAATGTGGTAAAACAGATATATTATTCACAACGTCTTTTATGTTCCCCGAAGTAATCCCGATTATACCAATATACTCTTACGTGAATTATGGTTCTTATAGATTTTATCTTTCTTTGGAATATTTTAGTTGATACCCGTATGATTTTGACTTTTTAAGAATAATATATTTTATGACAATTATATAAAAGTTGTGTATTGATCATATGTATAATTTCGTTTAAGATTGGTACAAAATGAAATCACTTCTTACCAACTAATGGGAACGCTAATCAAATACACTTTGCATACATAGAGACGCTAAGCTTAAAATTAAATCTGGAGAATGGAGGTATTACTTTCTGGTATTTTTAAATAGTATCTCAAACAAAATAGAGCGAGAAATTGACCTTCAGATAGAGTGAAGCTTGAGACCAATGCTTACAATTCATGAACCATTACACAGTACAATGAATACTAACAAATAGATGTGTTGTATTTACTTTTTGTCAAACTGTCAGTTTCATATATATATAAGGAACTATACGTTTTCGAAATATTAAAGAATTTTTTCAGTACAGTATACGAGCATCATATTACAACTATTATCTTATGTTGATAATTCACATATTTCACCCTTACAATTACGTGAAAAACGAACTGAAGTTATGGGATAAAATATTTTGTATTCATACTGAATGTGTTCAGACATGAGACAATATATTCTTGCCGAACATATTTGATGGTAGAATACTAGAATAAACTGATTAAACAAGTTTTGTTAAGCCTCTAGAAGCTTCTATGTTTCACTCAAAATGTTTTGAACACAAAAACTTTTACATTAGATGTATTGAGATACAGAAAATCCAGTTTTTCCTACGTATAAATAATCTCATCCACTTAATCCATTAATGATATATATATATATTTGAATATTAAAAAGCCAGAGTTTCCAGTTGCTACTGAAGAAAGCTGAGTAACACATTTGGTTTGCTTCTGTTTGTGTTACTAGCAGAAACACCGACCTACGGGCGGCTGTTTGTCTAATCATAGTATTCATATCTCATTGAATTTTTTTTTATAAAAAGTGAACATTTAAAAAAAAATCTTTTTCTGGGAAGTACTGCACAGGAAAAGTGTTCGGATTGTGCTCTTTTAGTCATACACAACTCATTGCATCAAAACGATTCAATGTACAGAACTCAACATTTAATGGTTAATTATGGGGTTTGGACAGGATCTTGTTTATTTTTGAATGTTCTAGAAATTAACTTGACAATCAGAATATAATGAATCTGTTTGTCTTTCAATGTCCTAGATACCAGCTTGTACATCATGATATCATAAACTGTCTATCTTTCAATGTTCTATTTATTAACTTTTCAATTAGGATATCTTGAAATTGTTTGTCTTTCAATGTTCTAAATATTAACTTGTACATCATGATATCATAAAGTGTCTATCTTTCAATGTTCTGTATATTAACCTGTCAATTAGAATATCATGGAATTGTTTGTCTTTCAATGTTCTAAATATTAACTTGTCAATTAGAATATAATTAAACTGTTTATCTTTCAATGTTCTAGATATTAAGTTGTCATTTAGGAGATTATGAAACCGTTTAACTTTCAATGTTCTAGATATTAACTTTACAAGAAATTTTACAACAAGATGTGAAAGACTTACAACAAAATCAGCTCTTGAACAAACTGGGGTTTGAAGAGAAGCTACGGAAACTTCAATTGCCAGAAAAAGAGGAGGACTTTGACCTTGACTTTGACCCCTCACATCAAGTTTCGTGCAAGAATGCAGCGGTTCTGTCCAACTTGCAGATTCTTCAAACTACCCTATATGGTCTACGGCGGACAACTGTCCATTTGCAGGATCAGCTTGATCATGTCCAGAAAAACATGACCTACCTAACAAATCTGACCAGGTAAGCTCCTACTTGTGACCAGATAACCCGCAATAAGTGCTGAAGTAACTAAAGGAACTCATGAACTTTTAAATCCCTCAAAATACAATATTGCTCAGCTCTTTCGGCGTGTTTGTTTTATGGTAGCAAACCTACTCCCGAATAAGAAGCTTGATATTCGAGTATAGTGTATCAAATATGTTGTTACGTATACAACAAACCCAATACTTGTAATGAATGTTGTTATTGAATAAAGAAAGTAAGAACATAAGATTCGTCCCGAAGAAGCATAAGTCACACACAGCAACCTCAACAACTTATATGTGTATATGTACATATTTGATATTAACTTCTGACACCTTCGACCTTAAACCCATTAATATCTCACGAGATTTGACTAACTTCGTAAGTTTAGGTTAGTCCTAAATACATATATTATAAGCTAACAATGCATAATAAATGTTATTGTGTTTGTATTAAAAAAGCAGATAGAAAGAGCAACATTTATTTTGTCACTGTCATAGTTTTCGGTTACATTTTTTGTTGTACAGGGCAACTGTATATACTATAGACAATGATAATGTTGTTACAAAGTAGTGTGCTATTGTTATTCTACAAATAGTTTCTTGTGATGAGCTATAAAACCTTTTGTTAATATTAGTAGTTGTAATTATGTGTTACAAGTTTTGATTCACAGGCGACATTATTGGTTATTTGACGTCAGCAGTGATTTAATGGAACTCTGCAGGAATACAAGGAATAATGTTAGCCTATTCTAGATAGCTGTATAGAAATTCAAGAAGTTAGGTAAAGCTTAAGTGAGTAAAAAACGTTCGTAGGCTTAGCAATGAGAAGAAAATAATCTTGTCTTTGAGTGAGTTTTAAGATATTTTGACGGGTGGGACTGAAGATAGGCAAGCTTGAAGCCGTACTCAAAACAGAGAAAATTGTTTAATTAGATTGTGGCAAACACTAGAAATTAATATTTTTTTTTTCTGATATATTATTAAGTTGCTATTTCTCAACAAGTGATTTATCCGTCAGCCGCAAATAAATCCCCTTAAAGCTCTTGTACATGACAACTTTGCGTGTGGAGTGAGACTAACAATTAAAAGTGAATACAACTCTGAGATTCTGTGCTGAAATTGAGATCTTTCAATAACGACATGAAGATATGAAATGAAAAACTGAAGAACATGAAAGAAAAATTTAAGATCGTGACCAGAAATTTAAGGAAGCACACACACACACACACAAACTTGGTCGAGAATGAATAAAGAATAGTGAAAAATAAAACTAAGAACATGACAAGAGAAGCCGAACAACTGAAGAACATGATTACCAGACTTTAGAAGAACACACGGTAAAACATTAGTTTAACATAAAGAAGGTGTTGTATATGTTAAAATGCTGTTATCTGATAAAAGGAGTGTTGTAGAAGGAACCAGAAAATGTGTGCAGATCTTGAAAACACTGATATCAGGGTTTAATTCCGTTCAATGAAATATAAATTATAAAACTTCGTAGTTCAGAAAGAAGTCTTAACATGTCAAAGGGCTGTTGATAGATGATTTATTGGACCGGTATGGTCAGGTGGTTAGTGCACTCGACTCGCAATCTGCGGGTTCGAATCCCCGTCACACCTGCTCGCCCTTTCAGCCGTTATAATGTGACGGTCAATCCCACTATTCGTTGGTAAAAGAGTAGCCCAAGAGTTGGCGGTAGGTGGTAATGACTAGCTGCCTTCCCTCTAGTCTTACACTGCTAAATTAGGGACGGGTAGCGCAGACAGCCCTCGTGTAGCTTTGCGCGAAATTTAAAAACAAACAAACAAACAATAGATGATTTACTACAATACGAAGAGATTTCGGATGCTGGATGGCTAGGTAAAGAATGGAAAAGTACACTACTTGCACAACCAGCTGGTAAGTCTGATAAACAGCCCATTCAAGTCTTTATTAGCTAGGACACATACATTACAGCCAGTAACTATACATTTTTTAAACAATCATGTCTAACTGCAGATACACAGAATAATTTAGCAATATAATTCACATCTGCAATTCTTTCTGGATCCACAAAGTAAGTATTCACGAGAATGCTTCTACCTTTTCAGTCACACACATAAGCATTATTACCTAATTAACATATCTGTTTTCAACTTGTATCTGGACGGAATTTTACGTCATTAGTAATAATCATATAATTTAATTGAGGCTAAAATAAAAGGCTTTTGATATGCAATCGTCTCTTGTTTACTAGAAACTTAAACATACATAGGGGTGTGATAAGAACGGTTTGAACAATGTTATTGTACTACTATTGTTGTGAAGCTCACCGTTAAATAGGTTTTGGAACCTTTTTTATTGTTTTTAAATAAAATATGTTATATACAGTTTTTAATGTTTATATCTCTCTGTGTACACGATGTAATTTAAGTTAGGCAGGAAAACCAAATCCCCTGTTTAAAACAAACGTTTATATTTATTAGTTTTGTTGTAAGAAATAACAGGATAATTTATAGTTATTTTGATCTAACTTTAAGTTTTAGTATTACTTAATACAGAAATGATATACAACTGACACTTATGTGATTTGAAAATAATTCCTTATTTAAAATTCCAAACGATTGAAAGATGTTCTGCTTTGAAAATGTATTTCAATAATAAATCTGAGCATTCCGCGTGACGAAACAAATACAAAACTGAAAATTGTAGACGTCATACAATGACGTCTAAGTATTATTTTTCGATATATTTTCGAACTAGCATAAAAATCCCTTTCACGGGTTATTTCATAAAATTAATATGTTTTAAGAGTTAAAAAGTGAATAATATTTAATAGCCTTGACGCGGTTTATTAATAACATAAAGTGTAGCCTTATGATAATGAACTAACCCAAAATTAAATACATCCATCTGCACGTATTCACTAAATGATTTACATCGTAAATTTAAAATTATATTTTACGAACATAAACAGGAGTGTGCAAAAGCGAACCGAGAAGACTGTAACTACTGAATACCTTCGTACAGCCTTGAAAGCTTCGTTTGAAGAACAGCAAGTACCTTCGGTAGTGCCATGTGTTCAGCATTCTACGAGCCCACAAGGTAATGTCTGCACCGTTCTTCCGGCATTCATTTAGTTTATTCATTAAAATAATATCAAGATAATCAAACTAGGTTGTGCAGTGAACGTAACAAAATCTTTGTTTGATTAAACATGCTGTATTCACACAACAATGTACTGCATCTCAACAATTCTAAAAAACTCAAAAGAGATAACGTAATAAAGGTGGAAAGTTATGAGGATAACAGTTGGTAAAGAATATAGAAGGAATTGAAGTGGCTCGGAAAAGTTGAATTTCTGCAGTTCTTCATGGCACTGACGCTGTCAATATTAAAATTCAAAGCCTTGTTGATTTATAGATAATTTTGTGTACACAAACATGTATATACCCAGCTTGAAGGTCAAAAGCAAGGATTGCAATGATTGTCTTTCTTTTCCAGAATCAGAAGAAACGCTGGCGAACAACTGTTTTCAGTTACTACAGGAAGGACATAACGTTTCAGGAATTTACCGTATCCGACCTTTATATGCACTCAGACCAATTTTTGTATTCTGCGACATGCAAACAGAAGGGGGAGGATGGACAGTAAGTTTTATTTTTGTTTATATGGAACGAGATATGATGAAAGGACAGGCAGTTTTTCCTTAAAAATTATTAAAAACTTGAAACTGGATAAAAATGGGATTCGGAACCGCTACTTTGTTTGAAGAGTAGATGCTTTAACTAACTATAACTTTCACTGTTTGAATAGAATTAGTTCCAAATTTCGTTTATTCAGATTATAACTTTATATTTCCAATTTATAAAAAAAACTTTTAAATATTAATATATATATATATAATCTTTAAGTCCTTTATGCTCAACTAGAGAGAGAGGTACAAAAATATGGAAAGTATGTTTTTGTTTGTACTTCGAGAAAGGTACAATAAAATAATGTATTGTTACGTCTCCATGTTCGTTTGTTAATTTTCCGTAGAGATTCTTTCCAAGAAACTTCAGCGATACAAGTCCTTTCTTAAATAAAACTAGTTTATTCTTTCTCAATTCAACTTTGCAATACACTTAATTTCCACAGTCACTTTCATTTAAACACCCGCTAGAATTCACAACGATTCACGCACTTTACTTACGGCCACTACCGCGTTTGACTCAATTGTCCGTCTCTGTCTGTCTACAATTCTATTCCGATTAATTAATTT